CTTGCAGGTCATGGATTAAAAGCATGACCCAACTGTGTGATTTCTGCAACAAACGCACTTTAAATACAAAGACACAAATAAGTAGAAAGTAAATGGATGAAAAACTACATGGTATGTGTATTACTCCCTTTTCATAATGCTATGAAGAAATACCCAAGAATAGGTAATTTATAAAGAGAAAAGTTTAGTGAAGTCACAGTTATGCATGGCTGGGGAGGCCTAACAATCATAGCAAAAGGTGAAGGAGGAGCAAAGGGACGTTTTACATGGTGGCAAGCAAGAGAGCATGTGCAGAGGAACTGCCCTTTATAAAACCATCAGATATATTGAGATGTATACACTATCATGAGAACGGCATGAGAAAAATCCACCCCCATGATTCTATTACCTCCCATCCAGTCCCTCCCATAACACATGGGGATTATGAGAGAAACAATTCAAGATGAGATTTGGGTGAGGACACAGCCAAACCATATCACTGTGCAAACAGTAAGTATAAAAATGACACAGTGGTTATAATATTGTATTTTAAAATAAACTTTATAACATAAATTTTTTCAGAGATAAAGAGGAATACTTCATAATGATAAAAGGCTCAATTCACCAGAAAGACACCAATAACAAATGTGCATCCATCTAATAATAGACTCAAAATATGTGAGGCCAAAGTTAACAAAATTAAAAAGAAAATTAGAAATGCCAAATGTAGGTGACAGGGGGATGGAGGAAGCAAACCATATTGCCACGTATGTACATATGCAACAATCCTGCATGATCTGCACATGTACCCCAGAACCTAAAGAACAAATAAAAAAAAATTAGAAAATTCCATGGTGACAGATTTTTGCGCTCCACTCAGTAAGTGTTAAAAGAATACACAAAGCAATCAGTAAAAAATGTATAATCTAAATAGCATTATCAAACACAGTATCCAAATTGATATTTGTAGAAAACTACAAATAAAATTCAAGTGTATGGGCCAGGTGGGTGCAGTGGCACTTTGGGAGGCTGAGGCAGGCAAATCATGAGGTCAGGAGTTCAAGACCAGCCTGGCCAACCTGGTGAAACCCTGTTTCTACTAAAAATACAAAAAATTAGCTAGGCATAGTGGCAGGTGCCTGTAATCCCAGCTACTCGGGAGGCTAAGCCATGAGAATCGCTTGAACCTGGGAGGCAGAGGTTGCAGTGGGCTGAGATCGCACCACTGCACTCAACTTGGGTGACAGAGTGGATCCATCTCNAAAAAAAAAAAAAAATTCAGTTTACATGACAAATTTACAAAGACATATGATAATGCACTTTATAAAACAAATCACAAAGTATTAGTAAGGAATGAAACTAAAGACAATATGCCTTCTAAATTAGAATTAAGTAGAATTAAGATATCTATAAAAACATGAAGTATTTGGAAATTAGCCAATACAACTTATAATGTATCCATAGGTCAAGAGAAAATCACAAGAAAAATTTAAAAATATCTCTAAATGATAATAGAAGCACAACATATCAAAATCTCTGGGATGCAGTAAAAGTAGTATTTAAACAGAAATTTATAGCTCTAAATGCACATATTAGAAAAGAAGGAAAGTTTAAAATCAATAACCTTGGGTTTCCCTTTAAGCAGTTAAAAAAAGAAAAAAAAAATGAAGTAAACCCAAAGTAGAAGAAAGGAAATAATAAAGAAAAGAACAGAAATCAACTAATTAGTAATTAGCAAAATAACAATAAAAATTAACCAAGAAAAAAGCACATTCTTGTTAAAAACCAACGAGATTGGTATGATCATAACAGAAGAGAGAGAGAGAGAGAAGACACAGATCACTGATATGGTTTGGATCTGTGTCCCCTCCAGTTCTCATGTTGAATTGTAATCCATCCCCAGTGTTGGAGGTGGGGCCTAATGGAAGATGATGGGATCATGGGGGCAGATTTTTCAGGAATGGTTTAGTGCCATCCTCTTGGTACCCTCCTCATGATAGTGAATGAGTTGTTGTAATATCTGGTCATTTAAAAGTATGTAGCACCTCCCCACTTTCTCTCCTGCTCCTGTTCCTACCACATGAGATGGTTTGCGCCCCTTTTCCTTCTGCCATGATTGGAAGCTTCCTGAGGCCTCTCCAGAAAGAGAAGCTGTGATGCTTCTGTATAGCTGACAGAGCCTTGAGCCAATTAAAACTTTTTTTTTTTCTTTCTTTGAGATGGAGCCCATCTTTGTCACCCAGGCTGGAGTGCAGTGATTTGATCTTGGCTCACTGCAACATCCACCTCCCAAGTTCAAGCAATACTCCTGTCTCAGCCTCCCAAGTAGCTGGGATTACAGGCATGTGCCATCGTGCGTGGCCAATTTTTGTATTTTTAATAGAGAAAGGGTTTCACCATGTTGGCCAGGCTGGTCTCAAACACCTGACCTCAGGTGTTCCACCCACCTCGGCCTCCCAAGTGCTGGGATTACTGATGTTACCCATCACACCAAACAAATCTCTTTTTTAAATAAAATACCCAGTCTCAGATATTTCTTTACAGTAATGAGAGAACATAATAATACAAAAAAAATGGTACCAGAAGTATGACATTACTATAAAGATACCTAAAAATATGGAAGCAACTTTGAAACTGGATAAGAGGCAGAGGTTGAAAGAGTTTAGAGGGTTCAGAAGAAGACAGGAGGATGAGGGAAAGTTTGGAACTTTCTAGAGACTGGCTAATGGTTGTCACCAAAATGCTGATAGTGATATAGACATTGAAGGCCAGGCTGATTAAGTCTTGAATATAAACGAGAAACTTATTTGGAACTGGAGCAAAGGTCACTGTTGTTACATCTTACAAAGAACTTGGCTGCATTGTGTCCCTGCCCTATGTATCTGTGGAACTTTGTATGTAGCAGCAACAGTAAAAACAGATATATATCAGTGAGGAACCAGCTAAATAGATTAGGCTTAAGATGTAATATTCTGCACAATTATAAACACTGAGATTGATATATAGATGATTATGTAAGTCTTCAAGTTATACCACTGGTAGATATTATGACATGAGGAAGGACAGTTTATGACATGTGCTTTCATTAGGTAAAATAACATGTAATAAATATGTCTGTAGATATATACTTTTAAATGCATATGAACATATATACACAGGGAGACCTTGATATGGTTTGGCCGTGTCCCCACCAAAATCTCGTCTTGAATTGTAACTCCCACAATTCCCACGTGTCATGGGAGGAACCCAGTGGGAGGTGCTGAATTATGAGGGCAGGTCTTTCCTGCACTGTTCTTCTGATAGTGAATGAGTCTCACTAGGGTCTGATCATTTTATAAACAGGAGTCTCCCTGCACAAGCTCTCTTCCCTTGTCTGCCACCATGTGAGATGTGCCTTTCACCTTCTGCCATGATTGTGAAGTCTCCCCAGCCACATGAAACTATAAGTCCAATAAACCTTTTTCTTTTGTAAATTGCCCAGTCTCAAGTATGTCTTTATCAGCAGCATGATAATGGACTAAAATAGACCTTTTTATTCTTTTATATTTGTGGACTATTTTAAAATACACAAGAAACTGCTGACCATCCCCCGTGGAGAGAAGGCTGAAGAACTGAGGGTCTGGTGTAGAAGGGAGCGTTCCCCAAAATGAACATTTTTATAATATTTAAATATATATTTTATAATGTGTAATATTACTATTTTAAAAAATCAACCAGTTTTCAAAGCTAATGAACATAATAAATTAATCACTTCCTGCATCCATGAAAAAAACAAGTTAAAATGTTTTTTATGCCTTATGCATAGTGTAAGGAAGACCAATCACTTGATCAACTTGTGTTTTTTTCTATATCTTAAAAAGATTTCAGACCCTATTATGTGCCAGTCCTAATGCCAGGTGCTTAAAGGACAACAAAATCAGAATTTGCCCTCAAGAAATTCACAATTCAATGGGAAGACCTCACATTCAGTCTTAGAGGAAGTCTGTTGCTTCTCTGGCTCAGGTATAAAATGTTTAGTAAAGGCAGATGCGTCCAAGACCATGACAGGAACTTACCCAATTCGGCATTCTGCTCTGTAGCCCTCACCAAGTCTTTTGGTAATTGTCAACATCTGTGAAACAATTGACACACCTCACCACTCCCACCTCACTGAGCTTTTAGGAGTAATCCTAAAGAGACTTTTTATAAGAAGAGCTACTAGCCATTTTGGTTTTATCCATTGAGCTTTACAGAATAATTTCAATTCCCAGAGGCATTACAGTTTTGAGATACCTATTTGGAATGTTCTTCCCCTTTGGTTCTCCTTCTCTGGCTAACTCCTACCCAATATTAAATATTGGCTCAAGTGTTTCTTCTGAAAGCTCTCTCTCATTATCTGTCACACAAATTAGGTCAAGCACATTTCCCCCATGTTCCCACAGCTCTTTCTTCCTTACATTTAACTATTTACTTGTCACGTCCTCACACAAATTTACTGATATGTTTTGGCTGTGTCCCCACCAAAATCTCAACTTGAACTGTATCTCCCAGAATTCCTTTGTGTTGTGGGAGGGAACCAGGGGTGGTTATTGAATCATGGAGGCTGGTCTTTCCCATGCTAGTCCTGTGATAATAAATATGGCTCACGGATTTGATGAGTTTATCAGGGGTTTCTGCTTTTGTTCCCTCCTTATGTTCTCTTGTTGTCCCCATATAAGAAGAGTCTTTTGCCTCCAGCCATGATCCTGAGGCCTCCCCAGCCATGTGGAGCTATTAGTTCAATTAAACCTTTTTTTGTTCCCAGTTTCAGATATGCCTTTATCAGCAGCATAAAAACAAACTAATATATTTCCTGAAAGTTGTGGATACCTGGAGGCCAACATAGAGCAGGAACTCTACAGTTTGATGATTTCAACTTCAGTGATTTCACTATCCTCCCTTGGGTTCTCCCAGCTTACAGTGACAAACTGAATTTTTGGGTAGTTCTCCCTGCATGTCCATCCCTGCTAGACCACTTCTTCAAGTCTAAGATATATACTCACTTGTCCAGGGACATCCCAGGGAAGGTAAACTTGCCCAGGCAGATGCGATAGACAGCGCTCAGAGGAATCCGCTGCAGCTGCACACAACTGAGCATGATGAAGTCGTATTTGCAGATCAAGAGAGTCTTGTCTGTGACCAGCAAAATTATCTCCTTCTCATTGTTCCAGTGGTCTATCCTATAAGAATCATCATAGCAAATACAAATGGATAACATAGCCTAGGTTAAAAACAATGGCATTCACATCTCTCCTAGCACAGAAAACAGTGAAGTTTGATCAACTCAGAAGGGAAAGAGGCTGAGAAATACCTAATACCACACAACTACCCCACTCAGTCTGGTCCTGTAACTAAAGAAGGAGGAAAAGTGGAAGATGATGGAGAAACATTTTGTCATCCCGGAGTTCAAAGATGGTTGGTTGCCCATGATGGAATCCATTAAGGGAAGACCAAGTGTGTGTTGCATCAGCAGTCGACTGACTCATACTTCCCCACACCTTCCCAGTTCTCTAGGAAACATCATGAAGGACATCTTCCCTCATGGATACCAAAAATACCTTTTTGTTCTAGCTGAATCTGCACGGCAAAATTTACTCACTATGAACTAGCCTACACTAATTTCCAAAGGTTGCATTGCTGACTGGAAATCAGTCAAAGACCTGAACACAGGTCTGCTGTCTTCCAAGTTATCTCATTCCTACTTGCAGCCCATCCTACCATATCCTTGTGGTAGAAATGTAGTGAAACAGGTGAAGTGAGATTTTTATGAACCTGAGACAAAGTAGACACTAGATAAGTGTTTACTGACCTCAGGCTTGAGAGCTTTCCAGGACACACATGGAAAATTCTGACTGATAGTTAAGAATTTCTCCAACAGACAGAACAGAAAGAAAAAAGCAATTGCTGCTTGTTAAAAGAGTGAATGTGGCTCACAATTCCCCCGACTGAGAGCAGTTTTGCTGTCTGTCTAATACAGCCTTTAGGATACAGCACTTCGAGATTTATACTAGAATTGTTTAGTGCTTGGTTTTCTCTAAAAAACTGAAAAGGTTGATTTATGACCAGTTCATGTCTGAATCCTCCCCACACAGAATCAATCTAATGTGTGAATGACATGGGCACCTCATTCCCACCATTCTCCACACAGCAACCACAGTGCAATTCTTAACATATAAAGAGAATGATGTCATTCTCCATTCATTTTATTAAATACCATCCCCTTGATTTAGGACCAAATGCAAGGTCCATAACATGGACTACATGTCTGTATAATCTGGTCCCTACCCAGGGTAATCTCAGAGTAGGCTAAAAACACTCATTGTTCAAGTCATGGTTCAAATACCTCATTGAAAGATGATTTCCTAAACTCCTGTATGAGCTTGGCCTCATTGTATTTTATCAAAGCAGACATCTTTTCCTCTTTGCAGCATTTATCACAGTTTGTAGGAAGAACGAAATAAAAAATGTTTAGCAATGGGTACCATGTAGGCACTGACCAATCAGAACATACACCACAATACTGAAGGTAGGGAAATGCTAATAAGTACAAGCTGAGTAGGCTGAGTATTAACTCGTGTGTGTGTGTGTGTGTGTGTGTGTGTGTGTGTGTGTGTGTGTTCCATGAGGGCAGAGACTGTGTCTGTTGGGTTATTCACTCCAAACCCTCCAATCAAATAGCCTGCACTAAATACGTAACTATTGAGTAGATAAATAAAATGCAGTTATCATCATTTTGGAGGCCTTTTGGGGGTGTGAAGGTGGAGGTGGAAATCTGTAGCTCTATCACTTATTAACTCCATAATATCAGACTTTTAACCTTTCTATGTCTCAGGTTCCATGTCTGTGAAATGAAGACAATACTAGTACTCACATCATCAGTTTGGGGAGAAGATGAAAAGAATGATCCTCTGTTAGGGCTTTATAAATTAGCTGTTATTATTGCTGGAAGGGACCTGTGACACTAAGTGACTTGGGTGACCCAATCATGTGCCATTTCTCAGTGTAGTCTAAAGACAGATAGGCGAGATGAAGTTAGGAATTGAATCATTGGGAGGACATGCATGAGAAGCTAGGAAGGACAGAGAAAGGGAGACAGAAGAGAAAAAAAGGAGAAGCAGAAAAAGGAAAAAATGAAGGATGAGGTCATTAATTGAGGTTCTAGTATATGCCAGCCATTATATATTCATAAGTATTAGTTCTATATCTCACCACAACCCTTTGAAGAAGGTGATATCCAAAGTCACTCAGCTAGAATAGCATAGTAAAGTTTGTGGTATCGTGAAAGGAAATGGCGTAAGGTTTAAGTCTTGGCTCTACAGCGTCCGTCCAGTGGATCCTCACCTCCATACAGTGAAACTCACCCCCTCCTCCCCTTTGAGAGAAAGAGGGAATTCTCAGTAGTCTGCTTGACATTCTCAGTCTGAGTCAGAAAGAGATGAAGACTAAAATTTCTTATCAGATATCTACATAAGCTTCCCTAAATAGATTGCATCTACTTAGCAGGAAGTTATAAACTGCTGCCTAATAAACCAAACTTGTTTTTAGTCTAAAAAAACGGCAGCTTTTGGTTGAATGGTTTTACTGAAAATGTCAGCACTCCATAATGAGATTTATTTTAAAAGGTAAAGGATTCAGGGGGAAAAAAGGAGGATTCTTTTTAGGAACACAGAGTGCTCTGCTCTGACACAAACTCTGCATAATTTACATGTCAGGAATATCTAAATTCAAGTAAACACACAGGCTTATAAACAGATTGGGGTCACCATCTCAAGTTCCTGGGTTGTATGTTTGTTTATTTAGACGTCAATCACACTTTTTCCTCTAAGAACTCATGGAGAAACATTAAATTACATATTCCAAATATTAATAGCATTGAGCTTTAAGTGGTAATAACAACTAATACAGGAATCAGAATAAAAATATATCGTGTTTGTACAGCTCATAGAGGTTTATGAAGTCCTTGAATATCAATATTGTCCTTTAATCTTCGCAAGAATCCTTTGGTCTAAATGTTATTACCTTCATATTGAAGACAAAGAAACTAAGGTCCACAGACCCTTAAAATGACTTGTTCAATGTTTTGCACCCAGTGAGCAATGGTGCAGGGATCTGAGACAGGTACTGAGACACGACATCCAGGCATGGTGTTTGCTTTCTCTCAGTACTACCGACCTTTAAAAATTGAACACTTTCAGTATGGTGTGTAAACAGTAAAACCCACCTCTGCAAGAAGCTGATGTGCTGAGACTTACCATTCCTGGAGCTGTTCCTTGTAGCAAACTTCTTTTTCAAAAGAACACTCAAGACTGTCTTTTTCCACCCTTGCCCCCTTTCAGTGTTCCCTGTCTTAGGGAAGAACTCTCCGTCCATCCAGTTATTCAAGCTAGAGATCTGAGTCATTCGGAGTCATCATATTTCCTCACATGCCATGCCAGGTGCTAAAAATTTTACTCCTGTTTGTCAACACCACCCACTTCTCTGCATCTTCCCCTCCACCATCCTAATTAACCTTTCATCATCTCCTGCCTAGATGATTGCAATCACTCTCTCACTAGGCTTGGGTTACTAGTCATCCAAACCTGATTTCCTTACATCTTCTCTTGCTCTCTTCCTACTACAGTAGGGTGAAGAGACTGGAATCCCACTCCTGCAGAGTGGATTCTTTCAAAAAAGAACAAAAGCAAATCTCATCTTTACTGTCCTACCCTGCCTGGTTTAAAACACCTCAATAGTTCTTGCTCTTTTGAGAAATGACAAAAACATTTAACCTGGTCTAAGAGTTTCTGCACGGTCAAATTCTATCTACTTATTCAATTCCTTCTCAGGCCAAGTCTCTCCACTCCATGTCCTTCATCTTCATTCAGATCCTTGAATTCATCATGCCCCCTCCAACTGAAGGCCTTTGTCCATGCTGCACCCTCGCTGGTAATGTTCATGACCTCCACCTAGTTAACTCTGACAGAGCTGAGCTCCGTTACCCTTTACTCCAGCAAGCCTTTGCAAACCTCTGTGGCTACTTCTCTTCTTTCAGATATACACTTTCAGACCACACATATTTCCCCTTTATGGTACTTATCTTGGATGCTATTTTATAGTTATTTCTATGATTACATAATTAACGTCTGTCTCCTCTACACCGCAAACTCTGAAAAGACAAAGTCAGTTCTTAGCCTGTGTGTCCAAGGTTGAAATATCCAAAACATACTTCTGAAATGAATTACCAAGAAATAAGCTATCCTTGCACTGCACAACATATACGCAGCTCGTGCTGCTTGGAGAATCCAATTCTCAGGTTTATACAGTGAAGTGGTACCCCGCAAAATAACATTTCAGTCAATAAACAATCAGTAATACTGAAGAAATGTTCTTGCCAAAATAGTGAAAAGAGCAGGACACAGAATGTTACCTGTGGTATCCTTCCAGTTTTGTATCAAGAACAAAATAATCCACATATCAAAATGTTAGCAGTGATTATTTGTGAGTCGTGGAATTTCAGGTGACTTTTATTACTTTTTATGCTTTTATTTGCCAGAGTTTAATTTTTCTAACGAGAAACAAATTAAACCTTTTTGATATGAGAGGTATTTTTAAAATAATGTTAAATATCCTTAAGTTTTCAGCTTCAATGTTATCTACTCCATGGGGCCTTACCCTCGCCTCCCCTACCCACAAGTGTCTAATATCTTTCCTCCCTTTAATTAAGCACAAGGCCAGGCATGGTGGCTCAGGCCTGTAATCTCAACACTTTGGGAGGCTGAGGTGGGAGGCTCACTTGAGCCCAGCAGTTTAAGACCCTTCTGGGCAACATAGGGAAACCTCATCTCTACTAACAACCAAAAATAAAAATTAAAAATTTAGCTGTGTGTATTGGTCTGAGCCTGTAGTCGCAGCTACTCAGGAGGCCAAGGTGGGAAGATCACTTGAGTCCAGGAGTTCGAGGTTTCGGTGAGCTATGACAGCACCACTGCACTCCAGCCTGGGGTACAGAATGAGACCCTGTCTCATTCAATCAATCAATCAATCAATCAATATGTACATGCCTCTATCAGTGCCTCATTTGTGGCCCTAATAACCATTTTCTTTATATTGCAGTGCTTTCTATCCTGCCCATTCCTCCCCCATGCATATTACGTGGATACCCCTCTAAGTGCAGAATCAGTGCTTTATTTTTATCTGTGTC